GTGTGTGTGTGTATGTGTATGTGCCCACCTACAAACACACATATGCACACCACTCATCGCACGCTTACACTGAGATGGGAGCAGGGGAAAGTGTATCTCCTTGGCCACTGATGTCAGGGTCGCTGCCCATTGTACATACCTATGAACGGTAACTGAACATTGACCACATTCACAGCAACTACTTACATCATGCATCTCTTGGAAAACTAAACAAGAGTAAACAAGAGTCTCTCTCAAAAAATGTTCTCTTGGGTACAAATCAAAACAAATACTTAAAATCACAATTTTCTCATGGATGCCAGTGCTGTGGCTTTAATTAGTTTATTTATGTCCATGCTTACTAAAAGAGACAAGTTTGGCATTTGAAATGCATTAGTCACTGGACACACAGGTGAAGACGCTAACAGTGTTATTAGTGCAAACAGTTATTTTACTATGGCAATTATTTGCCAAAAACATATCCCATTTCATATAAATGAAAATGAGATGGAGAGATTGTAAGCAGTATGCATGTACTGCTGGCTGTAGCTTCATTTCTACCATACAGACCTGTGAGTGGTGTCAATTTCTATTCTCTCATACTATGGATAACAACCACAACCATATTATGGTCTTCTCCCAGTGTTCCAGGTGGTGGTCATGCTGCTGTATCTCAGTGTGTTACTGGGACTCTACGTGGTGCCCCTGTATATCACCTCCCCCTGCATCATGGACCCCACCACCCTCAAACAACGCCCTGATGTCATTGGCCACCAGGGAGCCCCCATGGTGAGTCAGCTGACCTCTATCATCCAATCAGAATGTGGGAATATGAAACTGGCCGCTTTAAACAAATTGTATTACTACTACTCTTTTAGCTACGTGATATTGGCTTCAGAGACCGTTAAACCCCTAACCTCAGCAATGTTGGTTACACTGATGGAACCTTTAACCCAGAGGTATGATTTGAAAAAGGAAGTATAAACTCTGCCGGCTTCCTAGACATTTGTTTCCCTTGTTTTACATAAATTTTTGTTCTCCTGCTCCTCCAAGGGCTATTCTAGCATGTTAACGACCTTGTGGTTGTGCAACTGAAAATAGTCCACAAACATAACCCAGTGAGAGCCTGGAGGTCCACACCATCTCTTTCACAGATCAGATTTTAGACTGCACTAAAGTGTTAAAAAGCCTGTTAGAGCCTGTTAATTATTTATGCATCAAAAGACCACATTATGCCCACCAAAGCACATTTTTGCCTTTTTATATTTGATTTATGTGCTTGGATTAATGTCATTGCTTCCAAACGTTACCTGAAGGATTTATGTACTTGGCACAATATCTGACTCGGTATTATGCAGCACAAAAGATGGTGGATTCCTGGTTATTCACCACACTTACTCACACACTCCAAAACACACCCTGCTTCTTGTGGTATTTGTGTAAAGCGATCGATCCCCACAGTGGAATCTAAAATTAGGAGTGGCTCAGCGATGATGTGAGAAACTCCCACTTGGGATAAAAAGTCACATGACTGGACTCAGTTTCCCATAAGGACTCTCTATTGATTACAGCATCATTCCTATCCTTTGGTTCCCAGGCATTAGTCACAGGCCCTCACAGGAGGATGCTTTTCTAGTAAGTGATGTTTACCCTATTGCTTTGGTATTGATCATAACCTTGACTTTAAGAGTTAAACAGCAATCCACAAGGCGGCCCGTTTTTCATTTCACAACCTTCATTATGTTCAGAGGAAGGGGTCTATTTTTAAATAAATCTGTGATACACCACAGTAATGTTTATTCTTGTAACATGATGATTAACAAGGAAATCTTGTTTTGTGTTCATCTAACATTTTGTTCTGTCCTCAACAGTAGTAGGGCTTCTAGTAAAATCGCCAATTAGGTAATTGTTACAGGACTACATGTAATGAGTGTGTGTGGGTGTGGGTGTATTTGCAGCTTGCTCCAGAGAACACACTGTGGTCCTTCCAAAGAGCTCTACAGATGAACGTCACTGGGTTAGAGACTGACGTGGCTATCAGGTACACACACACACACACACACACACACACGTGCGATCAATACAGCAGAATGACAAAGCCAAACAAATGGGTTTTTTATTCTCTGTCTAGATTGTGCCTCGCTGATTGGTGTCCTTTCATACACTATGAAAATACTGGTTCAATCAAAACATTTGAATACCAGTTGTGGATAAGCTTACACTGGATTATTACCAATCAAAACATAATGTGTTGCTTTTTCTTCTCTAAATATAAGACCTGACATTTTGTAAATGATCAAATTGATATTCCCCTGCAGTGTATTTTTCATGTTATTATAATGAAATACAGTGGATTATGAGGTCTATAAAAAGAAAATAACGTTGATGTAGTGCTAACACATTATTGTCTTTACGGAGAAACAGGCAAAGTGGTAATGTCCCTTCAACATGAAAAAGCAGTAAATAGCAATGTAAATGCATACTTTGAACAGGCTACAGCGATGCAACGGCACATCAGTCTATCAGCAGGCAGTAGATGGAGGCATGACATCACCAACCTAATAGAAGGTGACAGGCCGAGCTCAGAGATACACACTTGGAGGGAGACAGATGAAGTGGGGAGGGTGGTTTCTGGAGTGGCCATGGTATATGATGAATAGTGGGTGTCTACTCATGCATGTGCAGTGATGAAGGGATGAGTGATTGTGTAAGGGTGGGGAGGAGCAGGATGTATGGGCTTTATTTTCTAGTGTCTTAAGGTTACTGTCAATGACTTTGGCATCTTATTTAGCTGCAGACTCTTTTCCTGTATTAGCAACCACGTTGGCGCTGTGTGTTTGTGTGTGTGTGCTTACTGTACAGTCCCAAGAGAGTTGAATGGGCGTGTGATTGGTGCAGGCCGCTGACAGGTGAGCTCCTGACTGCACTGAGTAATTAGACTTGATGACAGCCAGAGAGACAGTGAGACTCCTACAGTGAACCAGAGACACACCACATACACATGCAAGCACATACAGTCTACGTAATATACGTACATATTTAACACTTCAGTTTATCGTTCATTATTACAATATTTTTACTGATGAACTTTTTTATATATTTTGGTTTATAGTTTATAGTTTGTACACACATAAACAGACTGATATCCACGCAGGAAAGGTATTCATTTTCAGATAAGAATTAGAGTAGCAACTATTGAGAAATGGGAGGGCTTTTTTTTTGTCTTGGTTGTGTTGTGTTTTGTTTTTACTGCATAACATGCTGACGCGAACTAAAAAAGCGAAGTGATTTGATTCAAATATTGAGCAGCAGCATTTTCTAGAAAAAACCTCACAATTGGGCCAAACTCTTATCTTTTGTGCTCTCCCTTTCTCTTTTCTCTTGTTTGACATGGTTTCAAGAGTTACCCTCTAACCAAACTCCTGTCTCTTCTGCTCTGATCTAATGTCATGAGAGCTTTTATTCTTCTACTAAGCATGAGAGACAGATACAGATACTTTTGATGATCCTTTTTCTTTCGCTTAGGTTGAATTATAAAAATGTCCGAACCAGTAGTTTTGCATTTGATGTCAGTGCGGTTATAATAAATTATTTACATGAACACTATAAACTATGCTGAATACTATAAACCACCCGACTTGCATCCTCAAAGTGTGCACCCCTCTCTGATCATTAGTGTGGACGGAGTGCCTTTCCTGATGCGCGACCGCACCCTGCAGAGAACCACAGACGTCGCGAAGGTTTTCCCAGACAGACAGAAGGATGACGCCTCGCACTTCAACTGGACAGATCTGCAGCAGCTCAACGCAGGACAGTGGTTCCTCAAGGTACGTCCTGGTTGCTGATGAGGACTTTTGAAGCTATTTCAGCTTCATCTGTTAGTGCCGTGGTGCAGCGATATGTGATAAAGGTCATTGGCCCATTGAGTCACGAGGACTCTACAGTATGTGTCCTCACTAATTGATACTCCATGACATCCTCTGGTTTCATTAAGGTACAGAGATCCATTAATACTTTAGAAATGCTCTCATGTATGCAAAGTGGATCAGGGTCAACTAGTGCTTCAGAATAATTGTTTGTTTCAATCCGCTTGAAGTACGAGACTAGTGGGCCAAACAGGATGAAAACACACTGACAAACGATCCACCATGAGCATTATGTAGACATACTGCCTGTTCTTCTTTCCTGCGTGTATTCTTGTTTAGCCATTGCCTGCAGAATGTGTAAATATATCATTCTGTTACTAAGGAGGAAAATGTGCTGCAAGACGCAGCGATGTAGATACATGGCTTTCTGTGCACTGTGCTACTTTGCTGTGTTCCACTTCTACAGTACCCTCTTGTATTAGGTCTGTATTTTTTGCTCCAAAACTGCTGTGGCAAGTGTTTCTTTTAATCTATACATTTCTAAATATATACACTCCTTGTGTAATAGTAGGAAGGTTCAAACCCCCACCTTTTTGTTTTTGTTAAGTATTCTAGTTCTTCTAAAGCTTATATTCTATGACAACAGATTGCTGTGCAAAGACACTTGGCTGTAGGCTAAGATGTGTCAGTGTTTGTTTGTATATGCATTGTTTTGTCCTCTCTCCCCCTCCACTCTATTTACTTTGCAAGTGTGCACATTGTTGCTTTTTCCCAGAAAAGCTACTTCTGCGTATTGTTATGAGAATTCACTGTCCTAGTCGGATTTCTAAATGCCCAAACATGTCCTAATCTCTCCTGATCGTGTAATCAAAGTGTCATTAGAATGACAAAGCTATTTTTTAGTTGGTAAAATTCATTCATTCAAATCATGGAAGATGTAAATAAGAAGCATCGGATCTTCTTCTCCTTTGTGCTTTGAACAGGAGCGAGGGAGCAGTGAAGCGAGAAAAGATGTGAAGGAAATGAGGAAAAACAGTCCACTATTTTTATATCCCGTAGGCGTTGTCCAAACGCTCTACATAACACTTGGATGAAGGCTTTTATTCAAAGCAACTTTTAGGGTTTATTTTTCTACAGGTTTCCAATAACATAAGTTAAGTTCTAGCAGCAGGAATGTTATTACCATGCAGTAATCGTACTTTAAACAGTAATACCGGTGATATTACACCCCTGTTAAACACTGATCTTCATCCTCATGCCTTTCTATCCCTGTGCTTTAGGATGACCCCTTCTGGACGGTACACACCCTGTCCCCCCACGAGAAAGATCTGATTGCCAACCAGAGTGTGTGCAGCCTGGAGCAGCTTCTAAAGCTGGCTTCCTATCATAACAGCACAGTGGTTTTCTGGCTGAGGAGACCCCCAAAAGAGCACCCCTGCTACCACAGCTGGATTAATGATACACTGCAAGCTGTGCAGCAATCTGGGGTCCCTCAGAGTCTGGTAAGGGTATATTAACTGAACAGCATGATGTCATATTCTGAACATGTTTTATGCAAACGTGATGGGTTAAAATGTGAATGCATCTAATAGTAGCTTATATAAATTCATGCTGTTACACTCTCTGGGCAATGAGTGTTCCCTATTTCTCTTCATGTGTCACACAGTTTCATTCAGTAACCGTAGTTCTGTGTATTGTACTGTGTGTAGGTGATGTGGACTCCAGATGAACAAAGAGCTCAGGTGGGACGGCTAGCACCTGGTCTGATCCAGACCTCAGTGGACAAACAGAGTCCTCAAAGTCTCCATCAGTACGGCATCAGCAGGCTGCTGCTCAGATACAACCAGGCCAGCACGCAGGACATCAGGTAGGAAACACACACACAAACATGATATGTTATCAGGTTGGCACCTTAACACATTAATTTATTTTCAAAGCCGTGCCTGAATGTGTGCGATTGCTTTCAGAAACTACTCCCAGAGTAACATCAACCTCACCCTTTACACCATCAACGAGCCCTGGCTGTACTCGGTGCTTTGGTGCAGCGGGGTGTCTTCGGTGTCCTCAGAGGCCCCACATATCCTCAGTAAGGTGCCTTACCCCATCTGGCTCATGGTAAGGACCCAGGATATAAGTGTACAGCATTTTCTTTGCATGGAACTTCTCAGGTATCACTTTGCAATCAAGCACAGGCTTTCTTTGTAAATTAAGTTTGGCTTTTCTTTCCCCTTTCTGTTCAGCCGTAGTCTCTCTATGTGCCCACTCTACCTGGCAGCCTGGAAAAGATCTGCTTGGTAACGGCGTTTTTAAAGGTTGATTCTGTGTAGATGGTTTTAGATGACAACCTGTCACCTCTGCTTCAGCTGCGTCTCCTGTGCATGACTAAACTAGACTGTAACAGACGATATCGACAAGAGAGCCTAGCTGTCAACTAAACTCATCTAGTCTGTTTATTTCCTGCACTAAGCATCCTCTTTTATTTTTATCAACGCTCATTGGAGGTCTTGGTACAGTAGAAAGACATCATTGCGGTGTATCCTGTAGTGTATGACGCATGGCTTTCTAGTTCAGTCGTCTCCTGAAACCTCTCATCATGGGTAGCACCCACACTGTGCCTCTCTGGTCTCGCTTCACCTGCTCCGTCTTTGCAGCGTGCCAGCCTGGCCCTTCAGAGTCTGTACCACCATACGGGAACTCTGCATGACAACATGTGGACGTGACCCCGGCCCCCCTGCTGTGGTTCAGGGAGAGTTTAGGCTGCTGGGACATCTGCTGTACTGCCAGTTCGTTTGAGCTGTGACATGTGAATTTGCCATTGGATGTTGTTTAGAACAATGGCCGTGAATATTAATCCTCAGGACATCTGTTTTTTACAGGTTTCTTCTTCTTATGTTACTGTACTCGACAATGTTATTGTGCATTGCCTGTTGAATATATTTTCACAAGAGAAAATAGAAAACTGCTAAATAACATAAAAATATTTTATTTATAGTGGATTTATTATAGAGATCAAAGTGTGTACATTAGTATTGTATATTAAGCTGACTGTGCCGGATGGTTTGTTACACAGAAGTCATTGTTGGAAACTGTACTTGGGCATGTGATTGGATGAACCATCTGTCTATCAACTTTTATTACAGGCAACCAATCAGATCACCGACCCATATATCGTCAAACTCTTACCAAAGCCAGTCAGGACAAGGCTAAACTCTTTTCCATTGAGAAAAGCATTGAGTGCCGTTCTTTGCTGTTCTTTGAAGAAATACTCTCCAGTTTCTGACAGAGCTGATGCTAGCAGCAAAGTGGATTTCCGTGTGATTTTGTGTCCCTTCGATTCCAGCTGCCTCGCAAGGTTGATTGTATATAGCAGTTCAAAACAGTTTGGATGTTGTTGCTCACATAAGAGATTGTATCGCTGACCTGTAGCTCCACCCAGTGGTGGATCCTGACAGAGTGAAACCCAGACCTTACTTTGACTGTTCGTATATCTGTGTGTGTGTGTGTGTGTGTGTGTGTGTGTGTGTTTCCAGAGACCAGATGAATACTGCCTGATGTGGGTGTCAGCAGACCTCATCTCCTTTGCTGTAGTCATAGGAATATTCATTTTCCAGAAGTAAGTACGGTCGATCGGTGATATAACTGTAGTCAAATCAATTACACATGAGTTGATGTTTCTCCATTTTTCTGCTGGTGTATGAAGTGGAAAGTAAATGCTGTTCTTTTCTGTTTTAGTCTCTGCTGTGCTCTTTTTATACCCAAACACACATGAGTACATGTCACTAATTACTGCCAATTAACAAGCACCCTTCTCCTCAGTTTTACTCAGCAGACATCTCTTTGTCCGGAACACATCATTAAAATGACAGCTCGTACATAATTATGCTGTTCCTTTTTTGCGTTTTAATCACTTTTTTTAATGATTTCCCAATGAAGACCTTCAAAGGAAAGGCTGCAAACAACGCAGGGTTATTTAAAAACGTGTGTGTTATGTAGTTTTGATAAGCTGCTATGGTGTGTTTTCACTGTTCTCTCCCGTTGCACCTCACTGTTGTCACAAACCAGTGGTGACAGAAGATTTGTATACTTTTATATGAGCGTGTCTTCTCCTAGCTGAACTGTGTAAACCCTGCACACTCCTCCAGTATTTCTGTTCCTCTGGTGGAGAGTGTGCTTCTGTTTGTTTCTGTGACATCTCCAGAGACAGATGGCCTGTCCCGCTGTCCTCTCTGGGATGGAGGCCACTGATCTTTGTTCTTTACAGTCCGGTGCGGGTTCGCTCTGCTTAGCCAAGCTTTTCAGTAGCTTCTGCTGGCTTCTAAACTGACCTCTCTTGTCTCCTGCCTTCTTTTGTCCTTTTTTTGTCCTTCCGCTTCTTCCTCGTCCTTTCTCCTCTGCCTGACGTGCATGCTCTTCTCCTCCTCTGCTGCATTCTGGCATCCTCTCTCAGCTATCACATGATCAGGTAACTGGGTCACCTCTTCTGACCCAAAGTTCTTCTCTCTTTTCACTCTCTTTCTGTCTGTCACTATCTTTATCCATCCTTTTGTTTTTGAGTCATTCTTTGGTTTTCTCTTCCTCTTTTTTCCATTCTTTCTCTATTTTTTTTTTTTTGGTCACTCTCCTTATTATGACACCGATCTCCATCCGATTTTTCTCTCCACCTTACTTCCACTGCATCTCTATATTTATTTTATCTCTCTCACTTCTCTCCCTCTATCACCTGAATCGTTGTACTGCACTGTTGCCACTTTCCTCTCGAGGGAGGAGCTCATGTCTCTATTTATCTCTGTGAGCTAAATAAAATGAATGCTTTCCACCCACACAGCACAAAATACCCACAGCATCAAGTCCCCGATGAGATTTAAAATGTATTATCCATCTTATTAAGCCAAATGACTAAACGTCCAAAATGAGCTACGGATACGCGTTCATCAGCCGAAGTGCTTCAGCATTGGCTTTTATTGGTGCCTGTTTGCATTTCTGTTTCTAAATGCCGCTGTCCATTAGTCACAGTTGATTGTGACTAATGCTCTTCCGTTAGGTTAATTGAAATCAAGGCTGTTTTCATTAAAGCGAGGATGCCGGTTTCGCATACACAAAAATGAATTCCTCTGATTTGACTGATGTACAGAGCTAAATCCAGGCAGTGATCGCCCCAATGACAAATGTTGATTAGAGGAACACGGCCTACACATTTCACAGAATAGAGCAAAATGTTTAGCCTTTAATTATTTTAGTAATGATTAAGAGGGTGAAAATCATTAGATAAATGACTGCAGGGATAGAATAAATATAGCTCTATTCTAGTAGCTGCACACACTGTAATCATAATATTACATATTTTGGTAACCATTCTAATTAGGCACCCAAAATAAAGGTTTTACAAGTTGTAGCCAATAGCTTTATCAACGGATCGTAAGTAATTTACTAATGCTTAATGGATCAGTTATAAGCCATTAATAAAAGCTACTTTAGGGTTGCCAGGTTGTGAAATGTCCCTTTCAGTAATTGGACTGTATGACCATTTACTTTCTGGAAAAGGGCTACAGAGCATCTGGACCAGAATCCATTAATTATTAAGAATGTATTAATGGTTTACCAACTACTGACTTACCACATAGAAAGGATTAATACTGTTAAAAAGCAGTTAGTTACAACTAACATTTGATAAAGGGGGCCCTTTCAAAAAGTGGTGCCCATAATTTAGTGCTCATTTGAAAACTTTGCCCCATAACAAGTTTCCTGTAAACCAGATCATCAGATGAGGATTCAGTTTGCTCAGAGAAAGTGAAACCCAGTAGTTTCCCATTAAACAGAGCTAGGCCTGATCACCAACTCCATAGTCCCTTCTAAAGATTTAATCGACACCCCTCTATGGACCAAAATCTTGACCCTAACCTGAATATTGAGAGCAAAGGCAGCAGTATTTGGTGACATCATCGTCGTCTCTAGGAGATCTCTGACCTCACATGTGACCTCTGCAGGTATCGGATGAGCGGCATGCGCAGCTACAACCCTGAACAGATCATGCTGAGCGCTGCGGTCAGGAGGTCCAGCAGAGACCTCAACGTGATGAAGGAGAAACTCATCTTCTCTGGTAAGACCCTCACACGGAAACCGGAGGGACATGTGTGTTTGTCACTCTTGGATGTTTTGTTGTGTGTTGTTGTTGTTGTTGTTGTTTGGACTCCTGAACTCTTAAACAAATTCCTCTCTATCGTTTTGATTTGCTGATTTCACAAAAATAATCAGTTTCTGACACTTTTAGCTTAAAGACGAGGAATTGGCCATTTTTG